ACACACACACACACACACACACACACACACACACACACACACACACACACACACACACACACACACACACACACACACTCTCACTCACTCACTCAAACACCCAGACTCACTCACTCACTCACTCACCTCCTTCTGCAATAATCGGTACAGTTTTGTAGTGTTAGAAAAAAAGGTATTATCTCCATATATATATATATTTTTTTTTTCTATCCTGCCTTCAAAATGAAAGTCTGCAAATCTGATGCACAACACATATTTTTTAAAATATACCTTATTATCTGGAACTCAACCATAAATCAATACTAATACATTCTGTCTGTGATCATAGAAGGAAGATAAACTTATTGTACAGAAAAAGAACCAATTATATAGCCAAATATATCTGCTGCATAAGAAAAATTAAATAATTTACAAGCACTTTACCTCTCTTTACAACACCTTCAATATCAAACGGAAGATTAACATGCCTCGAGTTCCACTATTTTTTACGTAAACAATCACTAACAATCGAGGGTAAAATTATCGATTGCGGTTAAAATCATCATTAGAGTACCAGAGTTAATCTCGAGTAAATATGGGATTCTTGCTAATCTAATCGTTAAGAATATGGCTCAATATGCCTTTGCTGATGTTAAGTCGGTTCTATTAATACGAACAACTGATAACTTTTGAAATCTGTTGAAAAAGTAAATGTAAACAAACTAATAATAATTAAACAATTAGCCAATACCATATCAATATCACAGATCATCCCACTCTCCCTATACACCTAATCGACATATTTACTCTAATCTAACTTGTCATACCCTACAAAACCTCCCAAATTCCTGCCAAGAGTTTAAAGGAATTCCTCAGACTCTTGACCAATATTTTTTCTCGCTTTGGCATCATTCCTGTGACTCAACCCCCGCCCCCCTCTCATCTAAGGCCATGACCGCCCCCCAGGACACCTCTGCAAGGGTCAAAGTGCACATATCAGGTCATCTGGAAGAATACTTACTCATCATTCCGCCCATATATCCATAAGGAGTCGACATGGCTAGAATTTTGGTGCCGAAAGCCCAGCCGTCTTCCAGTGAGTGTTGTTTTGGCTGAGTGGAGCCTTGGGACAATCTTACACTTCTGACTTATTTTTGGCTCTCGGGGCGTCTCCTGCTCTTGATTTGTGGACTTAGCTGGTGTAATATTAATGGCTGATGGTCTCCGTGGGGTTTTCTTGACACACAGCCGCGTACTTGTAGGAATAATTACATTTGAGACAATTTTCTCAGGAGTCTGCTACAACAGCTAAGCGCCCTAAATAATGTGATAGAAAACGGGTGTTTGCGACGAAAGCACAGAACATGAGGAGGTTCAAGGGGGGACTCAAGTCTTTTTCTTTCTTTCTCTCTCTCTCTCTCTCTCTCTCTCTCTCTCTCT